TTTTTTTTTTTTTTTTTTTTTTTTTTACAAAAACCATACCTGTATCCAAGTCCTGGCTCACCACTTCTCAACTGGATGATACTGACGCATTCCTAATGTTGTCTGAATGTAGGTTTTTTCAGTATTAAACAGGGGTAATGATAGTACTGTGAGAGGTGGTTATGATAAGTAAGTAAGCTCATGTACATAAGGCATCTAGTGCAACTTCTGACACATAGCAGTCTCAGAAATGGCACTCAATGTTACCAATTCTCTTGTTGCAAAGTATACCGTTTTTAGTGGCCTTCATGTATGTTATCTGCAGAGAGAGCACTGTTGTATGGTGTTTTATGAGTGATGATTAAGTAATACTTGTTGAATCCCAGTAAACCTGTATAAGGAAGAATGGAGATTGTCACTATCCACTTAGATTCATAAGCTGCCCTAAAGTGATGTTGGCATCAATGAAAGGAGTGTTCAGGGCCGGCCCCGTGGCGCACTCGGGAGAGTGAGGCGCTTGTATGCGCAGCAGTGTTCCCGCTGCGGGTTCGGATCCTATATAGGGATGGCCGGTGCGCTCACTGGCTGAGTGCGGTGCGGACGACACCAAGCCACGGGTTGCGATCCCCTTACTGGTCACAAAAAAGACAAAAAAAAGAGTGTTCAGGCACATTTTCACCTCAAGGATGGCAGCTATTGATTTTTCCCATGGTAAGTGCTGTTCATACTCTTTCAGAGAAGCTGTGGTAAGTTTCACCCTTTCACCCTAAACAATATAGAGTCCACTGTTCTGGGTCTGAATAGTCATGCTGCTGGTTCACTTAGGAGGTGCTGAATTGTGCCAGAGAGTGCTGGTCTGTAAGTCAACTCCCTGGTATGTGTGCTTTGGGAACAGGTGCTGCATAATCTCCTCCATGAGTTTTATCACCATGATAAAGTCACATTGCTCAGGACCTATGTTTCCTTTGCTGTAAAGTGAAACTATTTTTACCAGTGGGCATCATGGTTCACAATCCCCTTTTCTGGCTATAGGTGAGACAGGAGTGCTCTGGCATTGTATGGCAGTATCGTGCATGTGTATGTGTTTTCTTAAGTGTACTGGGTTTTATGGGAATTTCATATTAGGATGGAATGACTTGTAGGCACGTGACTGGGAATTATGGTCAGTTATCTGGGTTATCATGCCTTATTTCTTTTCCACTAGGTCTTTCTAGGGACCCAGTCTACCTTCAGGAAGAAAAGATACAGGCAGAGATGATGGTGGCTGACTGCCTCTCAAATTGTTATCAGGTAAAAAAGTATATACTTGTACAAAATGACACACTTGCATCCACCATGTAGACATATTTCCTTTGAGACAGACTTGTCTTCAGAGCTTCTTAAAGCAAATAAAGCCTCACTCAAAGACTGAGTCCTCAGTTGAATTTTCCCAGGGAATGGAGCCTCTTGTAGAGGTGAAGTGTTAACTTGAAAATCATTTCAGCATTTCAGTAATTACTAATTAATCTTGACCCTCATGGTGCCAACTGCATGGTTCTGATTTTGCTGGGTTCTCTGAAGGAGGTAGATGAAAGTATTTTGTGCTCAGAGAATTTATTTGTTCATCATCATTGATCATGTGTCTGGAATGTGCTGAGCAATGTGTTCAAATAGAGGGAAACAAGATGAGATCTCTTCCTCTGGAATGTGCCAAGATAAATTCATAATCAACAAGTGCCATTAAAGCCATGTGACTGGAGGAGATTAACAGTGAGTGAGTTTAGATAGGGGAGTTTCTAGGGCCACTGAACCCTGGGGTAGGTAATGGAAACCTTGGAACCCTGAATAGGTATTGGGTCCTCCTTCCTCATTCTACCATGTACATTGGTGGAGATGTTACTTGGCTCAAGTCAGCATATGTGCAATGGTTTAGGATTCAGTGACCTTTGAGGATGTAGCTGTGGACTTCACTCAGGAAGAGTGGACTTTACTGGACACAACTCAGAGAAACCTATACAGTGATGTGATGCTGGAGAACTACCAGAACCTGGCCACAGTAGGTAAGACTAGATCACTCCTTTTAGCCTTTTATGGAACAGATACATTATGTACTTACTGTGTTGCAGAATCAGTGATGTCAACCATCTGAATACGATGGGAAATATCAGAGACATAGTTCCCTTCCCTAAATAGGTGTTTTTTTTTTTTAAAGGAAACATAGCGCTTTCTGTGGTGTTCCTGGACCCACGTTTACAGCGTTTCTGGATGGCAGTGGAGATTACTGCCAGGCACGGCAGGATCTCTCGTGCAAACACGTGAACTGTGGAAACTCATTTCTCCTCTACCAGGAAGCCCTCATAAGAGTGGTTAATCCGGACTCAGAAGTGTTGAATTGAATTCCACAAAGCATTTTACAGGACTTCTGACCTGGATTGGGTAAAACCTCAGTGCACTTCCTTTTTGTTGCTTTGGTATTTCTGGATTGAAGATTTGCTAGGAGACTAATTTTATGTACCATTACTCCCCACTTCCTACTCAAAGCGCTGAGAATTTCAAGTGGAGTATATCGAAGGAAACTTCAGTTTCTTTGCATCATTTCTGAATTCAATTTTTAAATTACTTTATAACCCTATTGAATGTTTTTTAACTAAACTAACATGGATCGAATGAAGCACCCAGCTCCCGTGGAAGTCACATACAAGAATATGAGATTTCTTATTGCACACAGTCCAACCAATGCAACCTTAAACAAATTCATAGAGGAACTTAAGAAGTGTGGAGTTACCACAATAGTAAGAGTATGTGAAGCAACTTATGATGCTACTCTAGTGGAGAAAGAAGGAATCCATGTTCTCGATTGGCCCTTTGGTGATGGCGTACCACCTTCCAACCAGATTGTTGAGGACTGGTTAAGTCTTGTAAAAATTAAGTTTCGTGAGGAACCTGGTGGTTGCATTGCTGTTCATTCTGTTGCAGGCCTTGGGAGAGCTCCAGTGCTGGTCGCCCTGGCATTAATTGAAGGTGGAATGAAATATGAAGATGCAGTAGAATTCATAAGACAAAAGCGGTGTGGAGCTTTTAACAGCAAGCAACTTTTGTATTTGGAGAAGTATCATCCTAAAATGCGGCTGCGCTTCAAAGACTCCAATGGTCATAGAAATAACTGTTGCATTCAATAAAACTGGGGTGCTTGATGCTATTTCCTTGGAAGTGGAACTTGAGACAGGACCTAAACACGCCTGTAGCAAGCACTGTTTATAAGCTGAAACTTCCTAAATTGATTTCA